CATCTAGATTACTCAGAAACTAATGCAAAAGCCGATAAACTTTTATTAGAGACTGTTATAGAGAAATAACTTTTCTAAAATTTTACTTATTGAACGAATACTAGTTAAAAATGTCAATTTTTTACAAATCTTGCTCAAAATCGGCTGACAATTACTGCGGGACCGATTAACATCCTTAACCGTACGTACGTATTAGCATTTGCCTAGGCGCAGATATCCGTTCTTATCTCCAAAATCATATACCGCTAATATTGCTGTATGCATCAAAGTCCGATGTGGATTAAAGAATGATTGGTTAAATTTTTCACAAATCATGAGTTCGGGAGAGTGAAATTTGATCAAAACGTCGATCATCAATTTTTTAGGGGCTAAATTTTTTCACTCTCCCACACACATATTCCATATACATTTCCACTCTTCAACTGGAGTCATCCATACCTCCACATTCCTAGCCCCTGTCATTAGTAAGAAAAACAAGAAACATAATACAGAACAAATGAGTGAAACTATTGTTTCAACTTCAACAATTATCCCAACCTCTCTTGCTCCTAAAACTCATACTCACACATGCTCTAAATGCTAGATCACAATTAACTGTAAATCTGTTAACAGTCACCACCAACTCCAAGAAGGCAGTTTCTTCTTTAGCAATGATGCATATCATCTGGAATGCTTCCAACAAATAAACAAAGAAGAAAAAGAAAAAGCAGAAGTGAAAGAACAATGACTACATCAAAAGCAATCTAACAAGCAACAACAACAACAACCATCTAAGACAGACGAACAACAACAAACTATAGAAATGGAAACAGACAAACATACAGATGATCAAACTACAATAAACCTATTTAAAAGTATTCAATACATTTCATTAGATATATACAAACAATTACAAGAAGAAGAATTAAAAATACAGAAAGAACTTAACAAACTCAGACAACAAGAGGGAAAAAAGACAAGTAACAAATTCTCGGTAGGATTAGACTGGCTTGTTCAATTTCCTATTAATAAAGAAATGGAAAAACAATCAAAACTCAACCTATTACCTAGACAAATTCTCCTTTTTATCAAAAAACATCTATATAATTTTTACCCAGGAAAAGAAATTAAGCCTGCTACAAAAACTAGACCTCCACTTAAAGTATCATTTCAATATATCATCCATACTATGGTAACTAACAAACCTCAATTTCTTACTAACATTATCTACAAAGCTAATTCAGATGTTAACCCGAAAGCATCTATTCCCTTTAAATACCTTGAAACTACTTTTTGAAGCCCGTTACTTAAATTCACAACTACCCTATTTACCAAACTAAACTATGTCAAAATCTTTGAATCATCCCTTACTTTCCCTCCATACTCCCAGAAACAAAGATTTCAAGTTTGCCTTAATATCGCACGTCTATACTTATATCTTACTAAGCAGTATCAAACTATCAACCATATCAAACTAGCAGAAGACCTCAACTTCACACCCAAAAAATTTCATATTACAACTGAGATCAAATCTGTTAATCTAGAAGAACCTTACCTTTTAATAAAATCTAACTTGAGATACAATACATTGGTATCATTTAATTTACCTAAGATCCTTTTTCTCAAACAATATTATATTCCATCTCTTTTTAACTTCAGAGAGAACCTAAACAAATGGTTTGACAAACAGTATCCTACCTACTGTAAACAATTTGCCAACCCCCAGATAAAAAGAAAACTTTTCTTAATATACAAGCCCATATACGCAGACAGTTTATATCACATTTAACTGACCTTATTCCTTCCAACTTTAACTTTCCTAAACTTTCTGATGCAAAAGACAGGAAATTCCATGCTACTAAATTTACCAACTTTCATACTTTCTAGTATAAAGATAAAAAATGTGAATATCGCAACCTCAACAACTTCAACTTACATGACAAAGACCGCTTGCTTAGAGATACACTTAAACATTCATATGAAACCTTTTCCAAATCACTATCTGAAGAAGAACCAGCATGGGTTGAACCAATAATTGATGCTACAATTTTCAATGTTAATACTCTACATGAAGCTTTCTTTAAAGGACAAATACCTATTTCTACTTTTGACAAGCTTGCAATCAAAGCTGAAGAAACAGCCTGTGAACTAAATCAAGTAATATTTAGCAAAAATGACATGATGCTTACTTCTACAAATATCTTACAATATACCACTCTGCTGCAGCTCGCAATCACAAAATAAATGACAAAACCAAAGAAAAAACAATAATGTTAGTAACCAGTACTCCTGTCAAATTCGACTTTCTTGCTCGAATTATCATCTACTTTGATCTTATCAAAGATCCACAAGAAGACAATCCTCTATCTATGTCATTTATTACTAAATATTATTCTGAAACTGCACTTCTCCAAGCTGAATTCTATAAGACCCAAAAAGTAAATAAATTTTAATAAAGATAAGAGGCTATACAATAGAGATAACAGAAAACACATGGCATGAAGAGCCACCAGAAGTTTGTGCACAACTCTGAAAAATAATTTAGCATGCCGAACAATGTTAAATGCTAGAGATTTAGAAATCACTCTTAAGTTCAGAAGTACTGATCTAACAACAAAAAGTAAAGAGACATTGTCAAAAATGATATTGAAAAAAAGCTCTCAAATAGGCGATTTGCTTTTCTTATAATGCCAAAGACCCCATTAATTAATAAAAATATGCTTTAATCATCATCTATTAAAATAAATTTGTTAGAGAGAAAAAGCTGTTATAAAGGAGTTGACCAAAAGTGCCGAAATTAAAAGGATATGCAGATTTTGTAATAAGAAGAAATGAACTTGGTCGATTATATAAATTTGTATTATCACCATCAGAAACGGTAACGAGTATGAACAAGAACATATAGTAAAAAGGATCATTGGCATATTTCTACAAAAGATAAAATTAAATATGCTTCATGTTTCTCATGGTTCAGAGAATTCTCTTGTAGAAATTATAGCTAGATTAATAGACAATGCTATGCACCGCTTGCCTGTGAACTACGAAATTGAGATTACAAGGGCCGAACATCAAAGTATAGATAGCAAAAAAAATTGTAAGGTTCAGCAACAAAAGAATCAAGAGGAAACAAACCGAACCTTATGATTCGTATGTTTTTTACAAAAAATGAAATTGTATACTTTAAGGTTGGAAAATGATGAAAAATTAGTAGCGATCATTACAAACTAGCACAATTCTGTTTAGACGAACCGAGGAGTTTT